CACGTAAATTTTAAACATAAGAGAACAATCTCATTGATATCCCCTTGATGAGAAAATAAAAATCATAAAAGATAGCTGTTAGATCGATTTTTCAAGTACATGAATGTACGGCGTAATGGAAGACAATATATTCCTAAAATTTATCTTGTTTCACTGTAGAGAAGCAATTAATACTTCAGTAAGCTTGATTCCTACTGGGTGCCTCATTTCATGGAAAGCTAGGCTAATTAAAAACGTATTAATACATTGACTTAGAGAACTAGCTAGTGCCATTGAAGTACCAAGGGTATTTCTGGAGCGCGGCACATATGCAGCTTTGTGTCGTACTAAATTATTCTTAGAGAACGGACACCAGATAACCTTTGATATCAACTTTGCCCCCTGAGCGATTATCGAGTGCTAATTTTTATTCCACTCGAGTAAGAAAAACAATCTGTTTAATAAAATTTCAAGAACCGACTCTTAAGTTATTGCTCAGTCCACTTAACATATAGTGCGACCCACTGGATTTTTTTCCAACGAATTTAACGCCCACAGAAAAATAATTACCTGCGTATAGTGCAACCGGTCATCGAAAAATGCAGGATTGTTAAATATCAAAAAATTACGTAGGTATAGTGCGTCTCCCTCTCACCCCCCCTCAAATGGTCATAAAAACTTGCATTCTTCTCGAATATACAAGGCATACTAGCGTGTGGATTGCTTACAATATATAACAGCTCACAATATTCTGAAACAAGATGAGATGAAACTACGCTTATACAAGATCAAGCCTAACATGAATTTATTCAGGTGGCTTCTAATTGGACGAAGCCATAATTTTATATATATTGTATATTTTGATTATGATAATAGTATTGCATTACGAATAAAAATAATTAGTTTGACGCTTGAAGCTATTGCATAGGTATTTCTACCACACTATTTTACTGATGTTGGAGTTATTAGTAATATATCGAATTAATTATTTAAATGATAATGGATTTCGGTTGGTCTTTTTCATGTCTTATAGAAATATACACTAACATAACAAAATGGCAACAATGAATGTGTTTCAATGTACATTCCATAGCGAGAGAGAGAGAGAGAGAGATATATATATATATATATATATATATATATATAGAGAGAGAGAGAGAGTATATATATATATATATATATATAGAGAGAGAGAGAGAATATATATATATATATATATATATAGAGAGAGAGAGTATATATATATATATATAGAGAGAGAGAGATATATATATATAGAGAGAGAGAGAGATATATATATAGAGGGAGAGTGAGAGAGAGATAATGTTATATATAATATACTGAGTGTGTGTGTGTATATAACACCCTGTACAAGCCACAAGAGCCGTTCGAGGTAGTGTTACAAAGTAAGTGGCACAGTTAAAGTATATTGTAACATGTAGTGGATCGTAGCGGCCGATTCCAGTTTCGAGATTGGAGTGATCGGGGAAGCATCCTCTTAGGAGTTGGTTCCACAAAGTAGCAACTTACATCTTACCAATGGAATACGATGGGAATGTGAACAGTTCGCTACAATGTGCGTGGTATGGTGGGTCTCAGTCGTGAATCTTAGAAGTTTCGTCTGTGAGAAAGAGGTTGTAGGGTGGGAATAATTTGTCAGCCTCAAGAAGGAGGAGACACTATCGAGAGCGGAAAGTGAAGGCAAGACATGGAAGCTTCTGCCCATATATGGGAGCAGTACTCACTTAAAAAAAAAACATGGAGTCGATATAAAGTTTTGTGACATGTCTGGTTCAGAATTGAATTCGTGATAGTCGAGAATCGCGTGCTAATGCATTAATACGTCTTCACTGAGCCTAACTTAAATCACCGGGCACCTAGTATGGATCAAACTCACGAGCGACTTGTTTGTTAATGACTGCGCTACAGTGAAGCGCAGTTAAATTTTAAGAATATATTAGGTGTTTAATTACACAGTACATTCTCGTACTGAAAACCATACAACGGGTTTATCCAAGCCTTGTTTTGATAGCTGTGCTAGCACGAAGTCACAGGTCATCGTGGCCGAGGACCTGAGCGTGATAGACTTGTTCAAATTGTTGATCACGCTAGATGACATCCTTTTTTCTGGGAACTGTAACTAAGTTCTGCTCAGCATAGTAGCAGTATAAACCATAGGTGGGCTCTGTGGGGGTTGAGTAAACGCAAATGCGCCTGAGCAAGCGACTAGGGTCCTTGAATAAGAGTAGCCAGCCAGCCATAAATTACATTACATACTAGCACTTGCAAATTCAATTGAACAACTACCTTTATGAAGATTCTTTTTTCTTTAAGAGGATATAGACTGAATTTTTCTTAGTTTTTTTTTTTTTTTTTAAGATATTGAATTTTTTTTTTTTTAAAAGAATTTCATCCCAAGTAAAGCGGGAGTGCCTCTAGCACCCAAGGGGTTACAGAGAGTGAGAATAAGAGTAAAGAGAGTTGTTTGAGGAAAGGATAAATAGAAGGACGGGGATCAAGATCAAGGCATCAGAAGATGTCGATAGACATTACATTTGAATATTTGAAGATTATGGTTATCAGGGAAGAAAGTAAGGGCAAGGGAATTTCACTGTCGGTAAAGTGCGAGATAAGCTGTTGAGTAGAAGAGGCGGCTACATTTAACTGTTTTGACAGTGAAAGGATGGGTTCGATATTCCAAACAAGTAGCACGTTTAAATTCATACAGATGGGCGTACCAGTGAAAGTAGCTCGTCAGAGTAGTTGCCATGAAAATATTTGTTGAAAAGACAGAGGGAAGCCACAGCACGTCTGTGAGAAAATGACTGTAATCGAGATGCCAGGTCACGACCTATTGCATTGCATATCCATCATTGGACTTTGTCGATAACCTCGAGATGAACAGCGTGGGCACCAGATCTTATATGGCAATCGTATTCAATGCAAAGAACGAATGGTAGGAAGATAGACGAGAAAAACCCTCTGGTGCGATACAGAGAACCAACTTTCCTTGCGGTAGATGAAGCTATTGATTCAGTGCAGTTGTTCCACCTCAGATCAGTGGAAAACGTGAGACCAAGAAAGCGCATAGGGACGCTGTCGTGAAGTATTACCATCAGCCCTGCTGATAGGTGGCAGGGAGGTTTCTCTGTGGTGGCTAAATGAGAACTGTTTCATTTTGGAGGCATTAAAGTTTACAAGCCATTTCCTGCCCCAGTCAACCTCAGATTGGAGGTTCTTTTTGAGAGCAACGGATAGGTTAATTATGTCAGCAAAGCCGGATTTAATATTCAGACAGGAATAAATGGTAGAGTCGTCTGCGTAGATGTCTACTTGAGAACTATTCGTAAATTTAATTCATATTTTCTTTCATTCTAGTTTTTCTCAGATTCTTTTTTTTTATTGAGTGAATAGCATTTGATTGCATTTTACCGTCACAAATGTTCATACTGTATCTATTGAAGTTGTTCTGGTCGTATGTGTTCGTATTCAATTTTAGAAGAAGAATTCTATTCGCGAAATGAGAAAAAAGAATGCTTTCGTCATTCTTTCGTTGCATTAATTCTAATGCCCTTTAAACTTGTCTGCTGGTGGGAAAGCAAGTTACTTAATTGCTCCCAAGAGAAAAAAAAAAAACAAAAAACAAACGAACCAATATTTCCTTTATTTTAACTTGCATCATCTAATTTCATTCAGTTTATCTCCAAGTTTTCCGAAGAAGGTATCCATAAAATTAGAGTAGGCGTAAACCATGTTTAATTCCGAGAACAACTGCACTAGAATTACGCAATGAAATAGGGGTTCGCACTATACACAAGTACATTTTTAAGACGTTAAAAATCACGAATTCTCTTTGATCGGTTGCGCTATAAACGGGTACATTGTTTTCTGTGAGGGATTAAAACTCATGGAAAACATGTAGGGATCGCACTGTACATGAAGTTGGTAAAAGCTAAATGATGAGACCTAACTGTAAATCCGGGCTTAAAATCGTGAAGTCAATTTTAGAGGAATGCTAATCAGAGCAATGATCATGAACATATTTATGTAAAAGGCAAAGTGATGTTATGTTATTCTTTTTTTTTAATTAAGTGAATAGAATTTAACCGCTTTGTACCGTCACAAATATTCATACTGTACCTTCTCATATACTATTGTAGTTGTTCTAGGCGTATATGTTCGTATTTCATTTTGGAAGAAGAATTCTATACGCGAAATGAGAAAAAGAATACTTTCGCCATTCTTTCGTTGTATTAATTCTAGTTCTCTTAAATTTTACGCAGGTGAATTTGTCACAAGAGAGAAAACGAACCAATACTTCCTTTTTTTTTTAAAAACTTTTTTTCATCTACTTTCTTTCAGTTTATTTCCATGTTTTCCGAACAAGGTAGGCACAAGCGAAACAATCTAAATGATTTTATTTCTATAGTACTGAACATACTGGATTATCAAAGGTTTATATCATACTTAATGGGAATCTCTCGTACTTTTGCTTGCTGTATATACTAAAGCTGTGGTTACAAACAGTGTGGCGCGTGAGAGAGTTAGCAATGATAACGTTTCTGATTTCGATTCCGCGGTTATTGCCGTATGGCTACTTGCGCCTTTGCAACGGGAATTCCCTTCCCCTGAGCCGTTATTTTTTTACATGTTCATTTTTTTTATCTCATAAAATTTGGGGAGACGCAAGTCAATTTTCATTCCGAGAAGGGAACTTCAATTTGCATGAATTTTAATCCTTCCCAGAAAAAATGTACCTGTTTTATAACGCATTCATATCTTTAAAAAAAGTACTTGCGTGTAGTGCGACCCACTGTCTTAGAATATAGTTCAAGTTTACGCAATAAAAACGAGTTTATGCGGTAACCTGTCGGAGTGTCGTTAAACAGAAAATAGAATCTAAACAGTAACCTAAAAGTATTCTGCAACTGAAACAGTGGTTACAAAACAAAGTTAGTTTTGACTTCCAGTGGTATGAAAGATGCCCTCCAAAAGCTAAGCAGTCAGAACAAAAAAAAAAGTCAGAACAAAAAAGAAAAAATGCAAAACAAAAAGAAAAACAGATAAAAATACAAACGAGAAAGAAGAAAGGCGGAAAGAAAGAAAAAAATTAAAAAGAACAAAAAATAAATGCAAAAACAAAGAGCAAAGACAAGAGTAAAAAAAGAAAACCATAAAACAAAAAAACGAAACCAAACAAACAAGAAAAGAAAAAAATAAAAAAAAATAAACAAAGAAACAAAAAAAAAGAAAAGTAAAGAACAATAAGAAAAAAGAAACCAACAAAACAAATATAAAGGAAAAAAAGAAAAAAAAGGAACCAAACAAAAAAAGAAAAAAAAGAAACTAAACAAAAAAAAGAAACCAAAAAAAAAAGAAACCAAACAAAAAAAAGAAACCAAAAAAAAAAACAAAAAAAAGAAGAAAGAAACCAAACAAAAAAAAACAATAAAAAAAGAAACCAAACAAAAAAAGAAACCAAACAAAAAACAAAAAAACAAACAAAAGAAAAAAAAAGAACCAAACAAAAAAAACAAAAAAAGAAAAAAAAAAAACCAAACAAAAATAAAGAAAAAAAAGAAACCAAACAAAAATAAAGAAAAAAAAGAAACCAAACAAAAAAAAAAAAAAAAAAAAAAAAGAAACCAAAGAAAAAAAAGGACCAAAAAAAAAAAAAAAAAATAAAAGAAACCAAACAAAAAACAAAAAAAAAAAAAAACAACCAAACAAAAAAAAACAAAGAAAAAAACAAAAAAAACAACCAAACACAAAAAAGAGAAAAGAAACAACCAAACACAAAAAAGAGAAAAGAAACAACCAAACACAAAAAAGACAAAAGGAACAACCAAACACAAAAAAGAGAAAAGGAACAACCAAACACAAAAAAGAAAAAAAACAAACAAAAAAAAAAAGAAAAAAAACAAACAAAAAGAACAACCAACACAAAAAAGAAAAGAAACAACCAAACACAAAAAAAGAGAAAAGGAACAACCAAACACAAAAAAAGAGAAAAGGAACAACCAAACACAAAAAAGAGAAAAGAAACAACCAAACACAAAAAAAGAGAAAAGAAACAACCAAACACAAAAAAAAGAAAAAAAGAAAAACAAAAAAGAAAGAAAAAAAAAAACACAAAAAAAAAATGAAAATAAAACAAATAAAAACAAGAAAAAAAGACAAAAAAAAGAAAAAACAAAAAATGAAAAAAAAAAAAAAAACAAAAAAGAATGAAAACAAGAGACGAAAAAGACAGGCAAAAAGAAAAAGAAAAACAAAAGACAAAAAAGAAAACAAAAATAAAAAAAGACAAAAAAGACAAAGAAAAGAAAAAAAAAACAAAAAAAGAAAAAAGAGAAAAGAAAAAAAACAAAAAGAAAGAAAAAAGACAATGGGCGAAAGACAAAAGAAAGAAAAAGACAGACAAAAAGAAAAAACAAAAAAAAGACAAAAAAAACAAAAAAAGAAAAAGAAATGAAAAACAAAAAAGAAAAGACACAAAAACAAAAAAGAGAGAAAAGACAATGGGCGAAACACAAAAAGAGAGAAAAAAGATGATGAAAACACAAAAAAGACAAAAGAAGATGAAGAAAGACAAAAGAGAAAAAACAATGGGCGAAAGACAAAAAGAGAGAGAAAAGAAAGATAAAAAAGACAGAAAAAAAGACAGATAAAAAAAACAAAGAAAAGAGAGAAAAACAGATGAAAGAAAAAACAAAAAGAAAGAGAAAAAAATGACGAAAAGACAAAAAAGAGAGAGAAAAACAGATAGGCGAAAGACAAAAGAAAAAGAGATGAAAAAAAAGAAAAAAACAAAAAGAAGAGACAAAGAGAGTCAAAAGACAGGACAAAAGACAAAGAGAGAAAGACAGATGGGCGAAAGACAAAAGACAAAAGAGAGATAAATCATATTCCTGAGACAAAAGAGAGAAAGAAAAGAGAGAGAAACAAAAGATAGAGAGAAAGAAAAACAAATGAGAGAAAGAAAAAAGAGAAAGAAAAAGACAAAAGAGAGAGAAAGAAAAGACAGATGGGCGAAAGACAAAAGACAAGAGAGAAAAGACATGGGCGAAAGACAAAAGAGAGAGAAAAGACAGATGGGCGAAAGACAAAAAGAGAGAGAGAAAGACAGATGGGCGAACAAAAGAGAAAGAGAGAAAGACAGATAGGCGAAAGACAAAAGAGAGAGAGAGAAAGACAGATAGGCGAAAGACAAAAGAGAGAGAGAGAAAGACAGATAGGCGAAAGACAAAAGAGAGAGAGAGAAAGACAGATAGGCGAAAGACAAAAGAGAGAGAGAGAAAGACAGATAGGCGAAAGACAAAAGAGAGAGAGAGAAAGACAAATGAGCGAAAGACAAAGAGAGAGAGAAAAGACAGATAGGCGAAAGACAAAAGAGAGAGAGAAAGACAGATAGGCGAAAGACAAAAGAGAGAGAGAAAGACAGATAGGCGAAAGACAAAAAAAGAGAGAGAAAAGACAGATAGGCGAAAACAAAAAAAGAGAGAGAAAGACAGATGGGCGAAAAAGACAAAAAGAGAGAGAGAGACAGATAGGCGAAAGACAAAAGAGAGAGAGAGACAGATGGGCGAAAAAACAAAGAGAGAGAGAGAGAAAGACAGATAGGCGAAAGACAAAAGAGAGAGAGAGAGAGAGAAAGACAGATAGGCGAAAGACAAAAGAGAGAGAGAGAGAGAAAGACAGATAGGCGAAAGACAAAAGAGAGAGAGAGAGAAAACAGATAGGCGAAAGACAAAAGAGAGAGAAAGACAGATAGGCGAAAGACAAAAGAGAGAGAGAGAAAGACAGATAGGCGAAAGACAAAAGAGAGAGAGAGAAAGACAGATAGGCGAAAGACAAAAGAGAGAGAGAGAAAGACAGATAGGCGAAAGACAAAAGAGAGAGAGAGAGAAGACAGATGGGCGACAAGACAAAAAGAGAGAGAGAGACAGATAGACAGATAGACAAAAGACAAAAGAGAGAGAAAGACAGATAGGCGACAGACAAAAGAGAGAGAGAGAGAGAGGCGAAAGTCAAAAGAGAAATGAAAGACAAAAGAAAATACAAGGGAAAGCAGAGGATAAAAAGACACACGAAAAAAAAAAAAAAAAAAAAAAAGAAAATTTTTCGCCGATGGAGATATGTTGGCAATATAATGGACTGAAAAGGTGAGCAACGACGAAGTTTTAGAGAAATATCTAAAATAATAGTTCCATGCAAGTTTTCATAGATGAATATTTAAAAATGGCTCCAAGGGAATAAAACTTATATGAACAAAATAAGTGTATTTCATCAAATCTCAGACTCGAGCAAATAAAAACATCACTTCAACAATTCCAAACAGCAACAACAATTAAAATGGATAGCACATGCAACTAGTCAGGAAAATAATGATCTAATCAAGTGATTCTTAACCTTAAATATGTTTTACGGTTTATCAACCTCTTTGTAGGTTAAAGTCGAAACATTTTGGGGTATTTTGACTATTTTTTTTTTGTGAGTGAATGTCGCATTAAAGTTTTTCTTGTGAGAATAAATTTTTAGAGATAGGAGTCCCATTTAACCCATAGTTTGGGAGATGGATCCATACCTTTCCAAATGTATTTGCATGTAAGCAAATGTAATGAACTCGACTGGACTTGAGAAACCTATTTTCAACTGAGAGCAACGCTTCTCTTCGCTCAGTATATGACGAATATTGCCTGTATGGAAACGGTTATTCTCACCATTAGAATTTCGGATCTGGCTTCATTCAGAAAACCTTTTTCTTTCTTAATGGAACTTACGCTTACATTTAGCAATTACAGCTGTCAAATAATGAGACCAAATTGCCAATCTAGTACTGTGCTTTAATCCGTGAAGTCGATTTAACAAAGAAGAAAGCTAATCAGAGCAATAATCATGAACATATTTATGTTAAAGTGAAGTTATGTTATGGCGGTTGAAAAATGACTGAAGCCAAGATACAAGATTAGGACCGATAACATTGCAGATTCCTCTTTGGATTCAGCCAGGAATATCTAGATTCATAAGATCTATTTGAGACAGAAAAACTTCCACGATAAAGTGAACCAGTTATCCGAATAAAAAATACCCTCACGGTGGAAATTTAATTACGTTAACTGCATCACCTGCATAGGGTTGATAACGCCCCCCCGCTCCAACTCACCTTCCGCTTTTAGGCGTTAAATTCGGCCAGTGTTTACCTATAGACTCAAATATGATAGAAGCAGATTTCGGTATTAAGTTATGGTTTAACACAAATAAGATAGCCAATTTACAAAAAAACAAAAAAAAAAAAACAAAAACAAAAAAAAAACAAAAAACAAAAAAAAAAAAAAAAAAAACAAAAAACAAAGAACAAACCAACCAACAAAAAACAAAGAACAGACCAACCAACAAAAAACAAAGAACAGACCAACCAACAAAAAAGAACAAACAAAAAAACAAAAAAAAACAACAAAACAAAAAAAAAAAAAAAACAACAAAACAAAAAAACAAAAAAACAAAAAAACAACAAAAAACAAAAAAAAGAAACAAAAAAAAAAAAACAACAAAACAAAAAAAACAAAACAAAAAAAAAAAAACAAAAAAAAAACAAAACAAAAAAACAAAAAAAAACAAAACAAAAAAGAAAAACCAAAAAAAACCAAAAAACAAAAAAAACCCCCAAAAAACAATCAACAAAAACAAAAAAAACAAACAAAAACAAAAAAAAAAAAACACAAAAACAAAAAACATGAAAACACAAAAAACAAAAAACTCACCCCAAAAACATTAAAAAAGGAAACAAAAAACAAAAAAACAATGGAGGGCGAAGAAATAAACAAGGTGACATAGTTAGACAAGACCGATATGGAAGAGACGTTGATTGGCTGGCAATGCGCAATCACTGTTAAACTAAAGCAATATTTCTCAACCGTTGTTTCCCGGAAACCTAGGGTTCCGTGAGAAACGGTAATAAATAGACTAATGCATTTTTTGAATAATTTTTGTCTAATTTTATATTCGTAATTTTACTTTACATGTATGGCATAATGTTGGAAAATCCTTGGTTATTATAACAAAGGCTTTCAACCTCCTATATTATTTAAAATTACAATAATCAGAGGTTATGTATTTTACTACGTGAACTACGATTAAAAAATAGATGTTAATAATGATATATAATATTTTTTTATGCAGGAGTTCCCTGACACGAGACATATTTAACCGTAGAACACTAACCATGGCTATATAGTACCCAGCGCAAATTTTCCTAATTTTTAAGTACAATTTTCAGTACCTGATTTTCTTATCTAAATAATGTTTTTCAGTTCCTATTAATGTTAAAATTATAAGTACAAAGTTTGAAGTGCCTGCATGTAAAATATTTCAAATAAAGATTTATTTAATTTTTTTTTTTTTGATATTTTATACATCGGGTATGATACACCCATGGGTAGTAGTGGTGTAATTTTGATGGTTAGTGTTCAAGGGTTAAAGGATCCCACGTTTTGGTCTTCCCGACAACTTCAAGAACTATCACCTTTTTTCATCATCAGTCTTCATCGAGGTGAGACGTGAGGTGAGACCTTTCCAGAAAATCTTGAAAGCGAACACACGTCTCCTTATCACAAAACACGGACAGAAGACGAGGAAACAACGAAGAACAAAGCTAGTTGCACTCGAGTAATTTAGGCTCACCAGTAGAATCTAAAATGAACACATCAAAGGTGTAGTTTCGTGTTTCGGAAAGGTGATCTAATCCAAACAAACCACCAAGTAATCTAACAAAGACGGGAAGGTCTTAAACTCTACAAACCCAACTGTGTTACGTAAATTTACAAAAAAGAGAGTTTTGGATATTGTCAATGATATGCATTAAATGTCAAGAAAATTCTTTCGGATATAGATTTCAATTGTGTTGTACCGATCAGATTTAAAGCTGGAATTTTATTTAAAAAATTTCGCATGGTTGAATCATACTCGAAGTTTGTTTTTAAATTTAAATAATCATTTCTGAAATAGACAAATTCCGACAATTATTTTAAGACATTTTTATGTCTATACATTCTTTTTTTTAGATATACAAATATTTAAGTAAATGCTGTTAATAATAAATAATAATGACGGTTCCGTAAAAGATTCAGGTTCGATCCCTGTCGGAGGACGCATATTTTTTATGACAATCTCTCGTACATTCAGGCCCGTAAATGCTGTTAATACTGTTTATTATAAACCGAGCATTTACTTAAATATTTGTATCTATCAAAAAGAATGTATAAACATAAAAATATTATAAAAATATGTATAAACATAAAAATATCATAAAATATCATATAATTGTTGGACTTTGTCCATTTCATAATGTCTGACGTCATTTGTTTACATTTGGATACGCATTGAGCAGATATGAATGTACGAAAGAAATCATAGAAGATTGTAGTTTAAAAACAGTATAATCGACCGGGCTAACGAACGCTCCTCTGTGGCGAAATCGGTAAAAGCACGTCAGGCTATATGACGGTTCCGTATAGGATTCAGGTTCGATTCCTGTCGGAGGACGCATATTTTTTATGACAATTTGTCGGACATTCAGGCCGGTAAATGTTAATACTGTTTATTATAAACAGAGAATTTACTTAAATATTTGTATCGATAAAAAAAAAATGTATAAAGAAAAATATCTTAAAATAATCATTTTTATAAATGTTAATATCTTTAATAAAAATGTGATTTGTTGTCACTGTTTAACCCTTTCTGGGTTATTTAAAACCGAAACCCAATAGTGATTGTACGAATTTTTTTTTTTTGTAAATGAATATTGCATTACTTTTGGGAATTATTTTTTTTCCAGAAATAACTGTTTAACCCATAGCTCGGGGAAGAGAGAAATTGATTTATACCTTTTCCGAGGGTATTTGCGCGTAATTCGACTCGACGATTTTTTTTCTTCAAATTCCAATCCGCTTTCCATCTAATAGAACTTAAACTTACCTGTTTGATATTTGTCCCGTGTTAAGGCATAGTGGTACAAAAGGAACGCTTTCAAGCTGAAAAGCGTGTATAACATATCTGCTTGGCCGACGACCGCAGCAACCTGAAACAAACAAAGAGTTTCATTTAGAAACAAAAATAACCTTGTATTTGCTTATCTCGAATACCGTATTTTGTGTATAATACGCACCCCCCCGTGTTCCTGAAGCTAAAAAAAACGACATCCTTGCGGAACAGCCATCCCTGTGTAAAATCTTTTTGAAAAGTTATACAATATTAGCCATTAAAATGTCAATGTCGTACATATATTTCACTAAATTATTTAATTTACGATATTAAAGACTAGCAGCATGGCCCAGCGTTGCCTGTGCTTGATTTCAAAATCGTATGAAATCGGCTGTGTTTATGGCAGCAGATATTAGCATCGTAGCTGGTTGGCTATATCTTTTGGTTGATGACTAAAAATTAACTTTCGCATTTTGACTGTACACATGGGTTTCATTTGGACACCATGTGTATTTAAAGTAGTTTCCGGTTATTATTTTTAGTAAGGAGGACTTGTGTATGTTTAGGTTTCATTTGTTTACTTTTTGTGTATCGTTCTCTGAAAAAAAAAAAAAAAAAAAAAAAATTAAAAACGCTGAGTCACCGGAAGTTAACAGCATTCGTTCTGTTTTCCGCGGTGACGCTTTCAGACGTTTGAGTAGCCGGCAGTAACTTCCGGTCGGGTGTGATACACTTAACCTTGCTTTCAAATTGATTTCGTGCAAAAACAATTGTGTTTTTCCAATTCTTGGCGCTGTCAGAACCACCGCCGGGTAATTTTACGTAGTCCTGTGAAGTTTTGTTGAAATCGGTTGAAAAATGTAGGAAATACGATCCCATATATAAACGTACAGACACACACACACACACAATCTGGAAGGGGGAAGCAGAGGGAAGGAACTTGTTAAGAGCTGTAAGATATAGAGGGAGCTGGAGAGCCATGATCGATTACGTTCTGAAAGGACATGGCATATAAGAAGAAAGGAGAGATATTTGGAATCCCGACACTCAGATAACAAAAAACTTGGATAGACAGATCTTTATTAATCTTTTCAATCAATATCAGTGAATTTTGCTCTCTTTTGGAGACAAAAGACGTTCAGTTACGCTGATTCCAAAAGAACAAATATTGCCGACATATTGATCGTTTTTCTTCTTTGGTTGGGTATCTGCAACAAATAGGCGTCTCACAGTTCGGGAGTGACGGAAAAATTAGCAGCACACGAACAGGACATCCACACATAAGGGACAAACGTAGCCATAACACCTGAAGCACAAGCAAATAAGAACGAATTTCAGGTGGGGGTTGTACTTTAACTCGTATATAAATCGTCGGTATCGCACGGCAATGACGTCATACGCCGATCACGGCACATTGCTCCTTCTCCGAAAAATGTAACTACTTTTTTTGGGGTCCAAAACACAGTTTACAACTAGCGATATCGTTGCTTGTACTGAAGTAGTTTACACAAGAAAAATCACCTGAGCCTAAACACAAAAAGCAATAGCCCCGCCAACGAAAAAGAGGAAAGAAAGAAAAAAAGAGGAAAGAAAGATTTTGCAAAAACTCATTATTGAATTGCAAAAAAAAAGTAACAATAGGTTAATATTTATTAATGAATAAATTTAATTATCAAAATCTTATGTAATTTAAAGAAATTTCCATAGTGAATCTCATCAAAATCATTTTTTTTTGTGAAATCGCAAATCATTCGTTAAAAACCGTTTTAGAAATGGTAGAAATTTTATTCAGCAACAAATCTTCCAAATATTTTCATATTCGAAACAGGGGGCATTAAAATTTAAATGTATAAAATTTTTTAGATTCTACTGAAAACTTAATTAAAACTTTTAATAATTGAGAAATATCAAGTAACAAAATCCAATAAACTCAAAATTGTTTAATAGAGAAAATATATATTTGAAAATAGAAATTTTTATATATCTGAAGAATATTAGGTAATTAAAGGAGAAAGTGGAAAGATTGTAACTCACATGGTCCTCTCGGACTACAATGTTTTTTTTATAGATGGCTTTATATATGCGCGGGGGTGGTGATTAGGAGATATAAACGTAAACGTTTCTCGTGATCAGTTAACTTTTAAAGTAAGGCGATCCTGCAAGAACTATGTCCTAACAGAATTTATTACCGGCAGGCACAATATTAACTTAAGATATGCAGATGACATTGTTAATAGCAGAAACAAACACACAAATATATATATATATATATATATATATATATATATATATATATATATTATATATATATATATATATAGGAAAAAATTTAAAATTTATAAGGCATTTTTTATAAAAAGAATAGCTAAATAAAAAAAAAAAAAAAAAAAAAAAAATAACTGGTTTCGTCCCAGGACTTACAAGTTTATTTTTCTGGGAATAGAAAATTTATAAAATTTAAATATTTTTTCTTCCATTCCATTCGTTAATTTAATTTACACGCTTTTATAAATTTTCTATTCCCAGAAAAATAAACTTGGTAAGTCCTGTGACGAAACCGTTATTTTTTTTAGCATTTATTTTATACCATATAAATA